ATCTGACACCAAGAAATACTTATGCTTATTGAATGTGAAGTTGGCCTTGCAAGTATCAAAGGGAGTCTGGTCAGGTTATGGCACAATCCTACTGAAACTAAGACTCACAGTGAGCAATGCGGCACTGAATTCCTGTACCATTCATGTAAACCACTAGGACTCACTAGCGATTGTTTTGTCTTTGTTAGTGACATTCAAGTGTGCCTCCAATACTAGGGTGGTAAGTGATCATAGCAGTGAAAAGAACTACTACAGTAACACAACCAAAAGATTTGGCATGGCAACCCTGTACTTCCCGATCAAGACACAGTACTAGTCCTACAATGCCTTCCATATCAGAAATTGATGTCAACGAGTATCATATGTAATTTTTCCATTCTGAAAAGGTTAACTCAAGAAACACTTACTGGTCTCAGGAAAGGAAGTAAGACTTGAACAAGCCTGCTGGATCCATATCTGTAGCCTTTTCCCTGATGCCTCATGAAGAATTGTAAGTGACAGCAGTAATTCATCATAATGAAAGTTCTGTCAACCAGAGTTCAGGTCAAAATGTCTTCCTCAGTCTATCCTCTTTACTAATCTGTGAGAGAACAACTGCTTCACAACTCAATATTTTTAAATGCTTAATGAATAGTCACTGTTTCTCTTTTACCTTTAGAAACGCAGTGGAAATATAAGACACATAAGGTATCATATGTGAAGGAGACATGGGACGTAATTAGAATCAAGATAGGTATACAATAAGGGCTTAATGTTACTCATGTCAGATATAAGGGGTATATAGTGAGATGTATGGTGTGGTCAGGAAGAAGGACATTGATTATGACAAGTGTTAATGAAGACATTTTTATGAAGACACACTAGAACAATTTAAAGAAATGAATTACCATTCATTGGATGTTTATTGTGTACCAGGTACCACACTATGAACTTAAACAAATGATTATAATTTAGTAAAAAATAATATTAGCACTGAAAAAGTAGATTTATGTAGATGCTCTATGATGATTTGGGGATTGTAGGTAATTTAATTTCTTCTGAATACGTTTCTTGTTAGTATTATATATGCAACACATAATGAAAAAAGAATTTGCAGGATTTAGGCAGATTAGAAGTAATGAAAATGTTTTATTAAGAGAAGATACTGTGTGTAAAAATATGACAGAGAGAATATGATGTATAATATGGATATTGAAGTGCTAGTTTTGAAAAGGAATAAAAAAAATGAAAAGAAAGACAGAATGACATTATGAGCACTTGACCGTCTCAGAGAGGGGTTTTTATTTAATCATATCTACAATGGGAATTCATTGAAATCCCAAGGAAGAAAGTGTAGCTGAAAGATAAAATTTAGAAAGAATAGTCTTATAGCATGGGGGAAGGCTTCTGAGTGGAGAGAGATTAGAAGTAAAAAGACCCATGAAGTTGTGACTGCAGAATGAGGAATGTAAACAAATAAGGCTTTGGATTAGAATCACAGTGGGTGAGGTAGAATGTGAACTTACTTCTCTCTGTCCAAATCCCATGATCTTCTGTTCTTCACACACCTGTCACATGTAGTGGGAGCCATACAGAACCTTTGAGAATGCCTATTTCTCAAGCCACTAAAGTGTCCTAAGGGACCTAGGAAACAACTGAAGGGTATCCACCTACAAACCCAGTTTTCTTTGAAATAGATTTATCTTTACATTAAAGAAACAACTTCATTTTTCTATTGTGCATCTTCTCTGTTTAAATATGAAATTAATATTTAATTTTTATCAAGTAAAATTAATGTTAAGTATATTCTGTTCTAGTTATACATGGGCTGAGAAAGCTCTCCTTCCACTGTTTCAAATAAGTGACAATCAGGGTCTTTTTGAATTTCCACAGAGAATAGTCACTATCTTGTAGAGCCTATGATTCTACATTAGTGGAAATGTTATTTTGTATCATTAGTTTAAGTATCGTATTTGTAAAATTTCTGACCATTGGTTTGACTCTTACAGGGCATTAGGGTGCAGGGCTAGAGTAAAACAATATCTGAAACAATTTACAACTTCCTGCAGAGACTCTTTCTACAATATAAGAAAACCTAGTTCTAGTGAATACAGTCATGCATCACTTAACAACAGGGATACATTCAGAGAAATGTGTCCTTAGGAGATTTTGTTCTTATGTGAACACAACATTGTAGTGGATTTTGAAAGCTTAGGGGCCATGATGAGCAAAACATTGCGAGATTAAATCAAACACGAGGGAAAAGGTACTATTAAGAGGTGTAGTAAACACAAGATGTAAGAGGGTACTGCTGATGTAAAATGTTATGATGTTTCCACACTACTAGTCACTAGAAATAGGAATTGAGACCACCAGTGAAAATATGTTGTCCTTCCTTGACTAAAACATTATACAGTCTGTGACTTTTGTCAGACCCATGGCAAAAAAAAAAAAGTCCATCAACAGTGTTGATCGAAGACACTTTAAAAGAAACCATCAATGGGATTTGCTAACAGAATGATATAAAATGAAATGTTTAAGGAGAAGCAATGGAAAAATCAAAGACAATGACTCCCAGTCTGGGCAACTGGGAGAAGAGTAATATCATTAGCAGAAATGAAGAAGGCCAGAAGTAAAATCTGGACTTCAGGGGAAAAATGAATTCTATTTCATTTACACTGTACTTCAACTAACAGAATAATCAGTTGGCATTTTATCCCAAGAAATGCATTTGGAGTCCTCATTAAAAAGTTGAACCTCCAGAAAGAAGGCTGCTTCCAGGCAAGCAAACAGAAAGGAGATCCTAGAGCTGGACTGTGATGTGCTTGCTCTGAGTCAGTTAAGCTGGAAAGAGAAGCAGCAGGTGCATTGCCTGTGGCAAATGCCAATCGGATAAATCATTTGAAAGAGAAGCAAGTAATAAGGGGTGTAAAATCTGGCACAAAAGCAAATGTGAATAAAGACAGGGAAAATACCATGATTTTGGTAAGGAAAAGATGATTGCTAACTTGAAGAAAATGGTTTCAAAAGCGTAATGGGAATAGTAGGAAGATGAAAGAGAATTTTGGAGGAATGGGGATGAGTAACTGATGTGCTGAATAGCAGCTGTGACTATTTCTTTAAATTCTGTGAAGTAATAACCACCAGTGCTTTGTAATAATTGTAATATTTCTAAATGATGTAATTTGCACTAACAATATAGCCTCGATAAATAAAAGACTAGTAGTGGACCCATATTGCTGTATAACATTGTTTTAGCAATGGTTAAAAAAATAAACTGACCCTTGATATCCATATTTTTCTGAGGGATGCCCATATTTGTCCCTGAACTAAAACAGTACGCATCTATCTGGATGCTTTGTGTTTCAATTGCAAGGGGAAAAAGTAGGGATTTGAGATTTGAAGTAATATAACAGGGCTCTTTCTGGCATGCAGAGTGATTCCATGAGTTTACCCAAATCTGAGTTAAAACAAAAACAAAGCCATGGTAATTGTTCTTATTGTTGATATGTTCTCTTGCAAGGTACTCTGGAAAAAGAGAAAATACCATCATAACGCATCACTTTAATAGTTAGATACTCAGCTAGTGCAGCTGGCTCTGTGACGGCATGTCTGCTGTTCAGCCCAGAATCTAGCTCCATCTGTGATGTAGTAGGTGCATTAGGCATATACCATGGTGTACACTTAGGGGTGGATAAGCATAGACTTACACCTTAACAGACTATTAAAGCTCAATGAAATCCAAGGCATCCCTCTTTGAATTGTGAAAGACTTTTTATTTCTAATGTGCCTCTCTGAACAGATGAAATAATCTATTCATTCCAACAAAATTTGCCCTTTTCTTGTTGTCATGGTTGTTTTGTTGAAATGTAAGTATTGGTCAAACTTAGTTAAAAGGAAAAGTTAAAAACAGCAACATAACTCCAGTAAAAAGCAAAGTTATGGCCAAACACAGTGAAGACAGTAACCTAAAAGAATCCAGAAAGAGGACTGGTTGGTGGTAGGAGGGATGTCAGCTTCCTGTGGGGAAAATGGACAGCAGGCTTGTTACAGTATCTCCAACTGAAGGACGATGGCCCTTTTTTGCCTTTTTCTTTCACTTTTAGTGAATGGGTTAAAAAGAATGGGTTAAAAGAGAGGAACCTTTTTACTTAAAAATGTTTTTTCATGCATGTCTGAAACAAATATAACACACAAACACACATAATGGCTTGTGATACTTAAGAAGAAAACTGAATAAAGAACTATATTAGAACTCTGGAAAGATAAACATTTAAATATCTAGGAGAATATCTCAGATCTGCACTGAAAATAAAAAAGTAACTATGTAACTGCATTTATATCAGAGAAAATTACTATCATTTTATTATCTAAGTCGTAACATTTTAGAGATTTTTATAGATTTTTAAAATTCCTGTTGAACATCTAGGTCAATCTTGTAAAATGCTCCAAATTTATTATATTTAAAATAATTTTCCATTGTATTTTTCTTCCGCAAAAAAAAAAAGAAAAGAAAACCACTGTAGAATGCCAGCAGCTTGAGTTGCTCAAAATGGTGAAATTCCTTTATGCTTTTCAAAAATCACATTTCATAAAGGGCATTTATCCTATAGAATTAAAGTTTACTGAATAATAAATACAACTTTAAGTGATGCAAGCTGTCAAACCCTTGAATGTCAAAGTTAAATCCAAGAGCCCTTCATGATTTTTGCTGCTTTGGAAAAGGAAAAGCAGCAGAATGCAAATGATGAAGTAAAGGCAATCTCACCTTTGAATTTCTTCATCTTTGTATATTTGTCATAAATAACAATTTAACTATCCTTTGAGGTTAATATTTTCTGGTTCAATGGAAAAGAACAGAAAAATTAATATATTCATGCATAATATGAGGCAACAGAGACTAGAGCATCTTATCTGTAGCAAATTTTATTTCCAAATAACCATAAAAGGTATCCAGTTACTGTTCAGATTAATTTATAAGATCATGCAAGGTGTAAACATAAAGTTCCAAAGGGAAAAAATTGTTCCTGACAATTCTAACATGTGAAGGAAAATTACACAGAAATACACACCAGGAACTTTCTACATATGGCTAATACCTGGATCTTTCTTCCTGCCTGCTTTATGTCATTTCAGCATGAGAAATATGTAGTGCAAAGAAGCAAATATTAATAATCCAAGGGAAGAAAAACTTGTTGGCAAGATGCATGATAAGGGAGGGGTTACTATTAATATTCACAAAGAAATCTTGGCAGCGGGGGTTGCATTAGGTAAAAAATATCTATTTAAAAAGAAATTTAGTTGTGGTGATTATATTGCTGTTCACATCACATTCATAGACTTATGCTTATGTACCATGCACACTTCTGAACTTTTGTTATGGAAACAGGTAAAATGATATGGAAATCTTTCCAGAGGGCATATAAAGTAATATAGTAGCTTAGGATTTATTTTGAAAATAGGATAAACAGAAATATTATTCTGGAAAAAATTTGTAAGATCTGAGTAGGTATTAGTACAACGGTTCCAAATCAACAGCACACCATAAAGAAAACAGTCTCTTATTTTTAACATTGGTTGTAAAGCAAAGGTCTGTGACTTTACATCAGAGGTTTTTTTTCTTTGTTTGAATATTTAGAGTCAGTTCCCAATGACTAAAAATAAAGAGTAGATCTAAAAATGCCAACCCAGGTTTTTTTTGTCTGTATTGTTTAAAAAAAAAAAAAAGTCATTTCTCCAATTTGGACTAACTTGGTAACTAGAGACCATCATGTAAAAGATCGAATCACGTCAAGAATACGCAAACTCTCTGCAAATGAAGCTACTTTTGTTTATAGCACAGTGAAAATTAAATAGCAAAAGTCCATACAAAATTAGGTGCTATATTTATTTGTATAACAATGGTGTTATCACTAGTATTTTTGAGCCTAGAGTGAGTGACTCCAAATTCCATTCAAGAAATTCCCACTTCTAGCACTTTCCACCATGATACCCCCTGCAGGCACACTGCAACAGAAAGGGAGGATAATCTATCGATATCACAAAATGTTTTGACTCCAGTGAAAAGTTATTGTAAAAGAGTGTACAGTAGATTCTCCTGCAGTTTTGTTTAATAACGCTATCTACTTTTTAGGTGATAAAAAATCACCAAGGTTTTAAAAGTGTTAGCTTTGGGTCCTCTATCATGGAATTTTATCATTATTTGAGGTTTAAAAAATCCTATCCAGTCTGTAGTCAGCATTAAGGTGATTACCCAACCAATGCTGACGGATGCTAACATTCAGTAAAGCATTTTTTGCCCAAGATCATTTTGCTAGAAGTTTGACTAACCCGGGCATCTGGGAGGTAGAACCTATGAAAATGTAGTGCCCTGCTCCTTCTTTTCCACACCCAACTGTTAGTATGCCATTGCCTGGGAGCAAAGGCTGCAGTATATCACAGGAAAGAATTACAGACCTTCCAGCTCTCCATCACAGGGTTTTTTCTCTTCCTACTCACATAATTAGTACTCCTTTCTTTTACTTTTAAAAAATGTGCCTGTTTCAAATTTGTATTATTTTTTTCAGATGTCTAATTTCAGTTATGTTCTTTTCCTCCTTGGTTGCTTCCCGCATTTCACATACCAGACAAATATTTAAAGGTCTGTAAAACCAGGCGAGGTTCCAAAATATTTCTAAATGAAACTGCCATAGGTGACAGACAGGGAAAGAAGGCAAAGCTGTAGGACAAAGATTTGAATAAACTGACTGGAAATGTATTGGAAAATCTATTTGAATTGCTCTAGCCATGGATGAGGTTTCAATGAGGCACAAACATTCAGGTTACTGACAAAACCAACATGTTCCATGATGACTCAAAATAGCCTGCTTGTCATGGTGCATTGCTTATTTTTTATTAGTAAGTTGCTCTCTTTAATTTTTTTTTTCTTTTTTAGCATTCAGGAAGTGAAAGCATTTAAGAAAACATTCAGAATTCTGAGAATACATGTAAGTGAAATATTTAATGTCTGTCATTCAAAAAAGTTACATCATTTACATAGGGTTCATTTGTATATAATAAAAATTTCATCATAATGAAAAGTTTTCTGGAAAGTTATATGTTAATTTGCTTAACATATGCTTTGGAAATACAGCTAAATAGGAATAGTTAAAAAATTTCTTCAAATATCCCTTTTATCAATTAAAAAATCTCATCCCTAAATAATAGCTTTACTTTCCACTTGCTCCTTTTTGTAATATCATATGTAAGTTGAACTATGCAAAGACTGGCTCTTTTCATAGTTCAGAAAATATGTGTATACTTCAGGAATTTGCTCATTGCATAGCAAACATGTAAACTTACAGAGGACCTAGAAATTTTACCCTAATCTAAAAAAGTTGCTGAGATTTTGCATGATAGTGTATTTTGAGGTTTGTTTTTGTGTAATTTGGATTTTGTTTTCTCATTTCTAATATATGTGTCAATTGAATACAACAAACAAAAAGTCATAAAATGTTAAAAGCCAAGTAAGCAATTTTAACCTACACTACCAGTATTTAACCTGATTATGTTGTTTGATTTTTTCCTAGGTATAACAAGTTGGAAATGCATTGTGCTGCCTCTTAAGACAGTGTTAAAAATTAATTTCAACAGTGTGTGTTTAACATAAATTTAACTATATTTGCATCAAATAAAATGTTTATTAATGAAAGCTATTTATCATACAAGAAACAGCAAAGAGAATTCATCATACAGAGGTGTACACTAGAAGTGACAGATGTAAAAGTGCATGCAGAGATTTCTGTTTAAAAAGGAAGTAATAAACAATAATACTAAAATTACTGGGTTTTGTTCCCTATACTCTTAAATGAGTGATAGTTTTTCTTTGAATTTACAATTGGAAAATGCCATTAACAGATAGGACTAATACACATTAGCAAGCAGGTGAAATGAATGTTTTTGGACCTTTATTTTACAACTACTGTGCTTGACAAATGTGTGGAATTCTTTTTGTCAGTAAATTTTCTTCAAATATGGGGTGGGCATATTACTGCCAGGTTGCTCTGGTTTATACACGGTTTATCTAATTTCGTTTTAAAGCACATACTTTTAAGCCTTCATTTGCATTAGACACCATAAAGAACAGAAGTTTGGTTGACATTCAGTAAATGACATTTAAGTTTCTCTCTCTCTCTCTCTCTCTCTCTCTCTCTCTCTCTCTCTCTCTGGTTTTTTTTTTTTTTTTGGCTCAATAGATTTTTAAATGTGTGATTATCATAACCTAATATTGTCTTTGTCTTCACTGCAGTGGATTTCCGATCAAACTTTTCCCCTTCCTTTAATACTTTAGGGAATTTTCAAACGTCGGGATGTTTGGCTGTAATGCCCCAAGATTTGTTCTCCCTGAAAAAAATCATAGTGACAATTTATTAACTACAGAGCAACTTGGCTTTTAGGGGTCTGCAATTTCTATTTAGATTTACAAATATCCATTTGTGCTCAATAGACCTAATATTAAATCTTAATCATATTTAAGGTTTCTTTTCATGCAATTACTTTATTGGCTAATTATCTCTTTTTAATTCTAAAAACTGGATTGAGTCAAATCGGTGGGGCATTACTTTTATTATGAGCAATATTTAAAGGTAATTCTAAGTTGAATTACATTGCGTATGCCATGGTGTGGACATTTAAAATGAATCAGAAGTTTGGAAATCTAAAAGCTATTTGTATGTTTGAATATTTTTTAAACTCTGTATTACCATTTTAATCACTTTCACATATATATATAGGAAATACACTAGTGCCGTCAAACCTTAAATAAAACTGATTGGAAATAAAACTCCTTAGATTCAAAATGGTTTATTCACACAAAATTTAATAGGATATATCACAATTGTTTGGTCCATAAATATTTAGGGGAGATAGTTTCTATACAATGCATTTATCAATAAACAAAGAAACATGGACAATTTTTCTAGACCACTTACTGTACTATAAACACGAAGCTCAATATATAAGATTATTGAATTTATCAACTATATTTGAAAGAGTGCACAACTGCTTTCTATGACATGTTTGTCCCCTCTAACAGGATACACCATAAAAAGAGTTTCAGAAATAAGAGGTAAAACAGTACAAAACTAGTGAGGTGTCAAAAGGGTTTAAAACAGTTAATTTAACAAACAACACATATATCCTGATTTTCACAAACTTACTTCCAAGTTATATCATAAGGCACATAGGAGAACTGAGTTATAAGTAGTCTACTTAATAAAGTAGATCTATAGTACCATATATTGTTCTGTCAAAGAACAAAATTTATAAGTATCAATATTTTACCTGTAAAAGTGTATTAATAAGATCTCAGCCTTACCAAGGTTGTTTGGTCTGGTTAGTGGTAAATGCCCAAAATGTAATAGAAATATGAAAAGTCAAGATTTAAGCTCCATATAAGATGATAACCACACTTGCTAAATATATAATGGCAATCACACCTTTCTTCTGTTACAGTGTTAACTTATCTTCCATCATCTTTTTTTTTAAAAAATAAGCTACTTTCTGTGCTAATTTTCTAAAGACCCTGAGCAAAAGTTACAATAATGCACTTTAATGTGGGCAGTGAACTGTCAATATGTAACCACACATTTATACAGCCAGAAGGACACCTTAAGTTCTATTAAATAGCCACTTTGACCGCCAGAGGAGATTTAAGGGGTCCAAAAAGTGGAGAATATGTGCAAAGTTATTCTTAACAATCCACTAAAGCAAGACATATATCTTGACTTTTTTATTTTTATTTTTTTTTAGGAAATCCACAATCTAATTGGTATTTAACTACAACAGAAGCATATAGATGAACATTCACCACTGCCCAGACCATTAAGATTTTAGCTTAAGTTAAAAGAAAAAAAAATGCTACTGTAAACTAGGAAATATATTTAGATCAGCATCCACGAGGCTTCTGAGTTTATCTACTTTAAGACTAATCACTTCAAATCTCTAATATCAGAAACATTTTTTTCTGACAGATATTTTCAACCTGTGCCAAAGTTAAAAAAAAAAGCAACTCAAAACCAAAGAATTCTCATTGTTGGTATTAGTCTTTTAAGTTCTTTTTTAATATTACTCATAAAGAATGTCAGATACAATATCATGGTACAGCTGAAGCTAATTACTAGACTTACCAATTCAATTATACTGATTTTTGACTTCTTAAAAAATTATATTTTGCTTATTTCCATTTTCCCCAGGAAAGATAATTTAGAAAGAATGGTTTCACAGTTATCATTTTTAGGTTTAGAATGTTGAAATTATAGATTTTCAAATTATATCTGAAAGTTTCATGAATACACAGGGAGTTTCAGTATTTTTCAAACATTGAAAAGTCAACAACTAAATATGTGTCTTGAGTTGTACATGACTAAAGGAAGACATATTTCTTGAAAAAATTTTCCCATAGTCTATAATATATGGAATTATTAATGCTTTTTGTTATTGTGGATGCTTTTGTTTAATCATATTCCTCATTTGTAAGAAATAGAAATAAAACATTTTCTCAGTTTTAAAATAAAAAACTACGAAGTTTTCAAAGTTCCATAAGCACACATACAATTGCAAAATTTTTAAAAAATAACTTTCATTAGTTATCTGATTGTTTATTAACCTAATCATTTAACTGGAATTATTTGCCAATCATAATACCACTCTTTTTTTTTTTCCTCCGAGATTCTGGAAATAAGTAACATACAATTTTAAGAGGCACTTATTAGAATGATTCAAAAGCTCCCCTTACCAACTGAAAGATCTAATTAATTTTTAAAAATCCAAATACACTTTGTAGACAAAAAAAAAATACACTTCGTAAAGGAGACAATACTGTAAACTCATTTGCCAAGTGGCTGCAGATGCTACACACCAAGCTGTTGTTTTTATTTCCCAAATATCGTGTGGGTTAGGAAAAAAAAAATTTCTTGTAAATAATAAAATAATAATAATTAGAATAATAATAAAAAGAAGAGGAAGAATTCAAAAAAGAAAACCAATGTTAGAAAAGGTTCGTTAAGGTAGTTTGTGAGGGGCTTCCGGATTCGTGGCTGTCCATGTTAGAGGTCACGGATGTCACTACAGTGATAGTGGGATTGGTCAGGTCTGTTAAAGTGGTCGCAGTGCCGGGTGGAGTGAGAGCGCCGCTGTCTGCTGAGGGCGGGGCCGGAAGCGACGTGCCATCAGCTTTATCAACACCCCCATTCTCCTGCCGCAAAAGGTTCCTTCTGAATTTGGCTCGGGCGTTTTGGAACCAAACCTGCAAACCAATCCCAATTGATTTCTTTACCGATGTTTGTTTTTATACTTCTTTCCTTTTTTTTTTCCTTTTTCCTTTCTGTTTTTGGGGGGTATATGTTGCTCTTTTTAAATATCTATTTTTGTTTTTCTTGGGGGAAGGGCCCCTTTCTTTTCCTTTTTTTTTTTTTTTTCTTTTTTTTTTTTTTTTTCTTTTTGGCTTTCTTTTAAAACATTGTCATTCAAGTAGTACTAGAATCTCTTGACTGTGCATATTCCCTCCCAGCAATAAGAAGTGTCACTTGGGACAATGGGTGCTTAAGTGGAGATACCATGAAATGAAGGCACAGACATAAAGGGGGAGAAATACAACCTCATTCCTCCCTCGTTGTTGTCTTTTGAGAAGGAAGAGAGGCAGGGTCATGGAAAGTTTGCAAAGTATGAATCACTCATATGAAATGAACATCTAGCACACGGTAAAAATTCTTACTCTGTCAGGAAAACTTCAGTAGTGCTACAGACCCTCAGCAGCCAGAATCTAGTAGGAGGAATTTAAAATGCCTTGCTATTTGTTGCTGAGAAGTAGAAGAGAATCGCAGGTGACTCACAGGAACCTGCTGTAATTTCGTGAATTGTATTTTCTCGTGATGAGTTTAGGGAAATGGTTGTATAGCAGCGCTAACTCCCAGTATTTTAGTTTCTAAGTATGGTTTGTTAACATGGGAAAATAGACACTCCAATTGGCTACTTAGACACTAACCATACTTGCACATTTTAGAAATTGAAAAAAGGGTCTACCTGAGTTGAGAAGGTTATAACATGTGAATGAAGTTGACAAGAGTTTGCTGAATAAAGTGACAGCACAAGTACATGCACTGAACCTAACAAAATGGACAGCTCTATAGCCACAGCTTGTGCAAATAACATCACCTGCTTTTGCAGAGCAGTGAGGCAAACTATCCTGGCTCTGGTGGACCCATCTTTCTATCCGTAGGGAGAACGTGGCTGCATTTTAAAAGACCCTGGATCTTTTGTGGGGCACCCTCTGGGAAGCCCCTGCAAAAATCTCAATACCCTCTAGGGAGATGACTAAGGTAAACTAATGAGACACAGTACAGGAAATATCTGTATCATTCTCAACAGGGAAGAAAACTATTTTTACTGACAAGGGGGAGTTTCTTACCTGCAAAACTCTTTTGGTCAGACCTGTTTTCTGAGCAAGCTGTTTGAGATCCTTGGCATCTGGGTTGTGGTTGATGGCAAAGTAGGATTTCATGGTCCGGAGCTGGTGGTGCTTGAAGGAGGTGCGCATGCGCTTGGTCTTCTGCGAGGGTGGGTAAGGCTGCTGATCCCGGTCCAAGTGGTCAGCCTCATTCTCGTTACAACCTGTTGCAGTAACAGTGAAGAGAGAAGTGCTCAATGGAAGCTCTTGCATGAGCTGACATGACGGCAGCTGTATGATAATGCTGTGATAATAAAGCCACAGTGGAAAAGGCTGTCGACCCAATTATGAGCAATGTCTAGACAAAAGAAAGAGGTTAATTGCCAAAGTCAGCCCAACTAGTCTGTTAATGTGGACATAACTGGAGTTATGTAATAGAAAAACATTAGATAAATCTCTTTTGCTTAGCTGTTGCTGAAAAAACTTGGGAAAATTAATAAGCTGTAAGTTGTGGGAGTGAGAGAAACTTCCAAGAGTGAAAACTAAAAATCCTTTTCTGATATATTTGTGGATATCAGCACACTGCCGCCACACACGCACAAACACAGAATGGGAGAGAGAGCGTTCTTAGAGATTCCACATTTTGTCCTATTTGAGGAATGAGACATTCTCCAAATATATCTGAAAATACTGTTGTTTTTTTGTCACAGGGGATACAGTGAACTAGTCATTTCAGTTCCTTCAAATATGCAAATTTCTGAGACCCCACTACTAAAGAAGAATTGTGTCCATTCCAATATTTTAGCTTTTTCTGATATTCCTGGTATTCTCAATCAGGAAAAAATTAAAAGGAGGCTGGATAAAGAGAAGTCACAAAATAAAAAATTGTAGATTTTGTAAGTAATCATAAGAATGATTTTTTTTGAGGACTTTTAGTGATATCTGGTTAGCACAGGGCTATACCAAGAAGAAAACAGTTTTCCCTTGGAGTTATTTTAATAAATATTTCTGAAAGAAAATGAGTCCACATATCTCTTCACTTGGTTCATGCCTGAAGCACTCCCCACAGCTCACAGTTCAGAGACACAAATGGTGCATATTTCTAGGCTCAGATCTTGGCCCTTTTGCTCTGGGTGTGTGTGACTGGGATTTGAGCTGTGCCCATGGTTGGCTTGGCAGAGAGACAGTGGCATCGTCTCTCCCCTTGCAGAGCCCTTCTCAGCACTGAGGGCCAAATAACTCAGCCTTTGAAATCAGTCTGAATGTCATTATCCCCAGGATGTAAAGTTAAACATTTAAAAGGTCATTTCCAATAACCTACTGACTCTGCTTAGGAAATATGATTACAAAATGAAAATAGTTTGCTAAATATTTACTGACTCAGTCAACTTCATACCTTAAAGGGCATGGAAATTTTTCCTCAAACCTTATTTTTATCTGATGTATATATTTTATCTTATGTATATGCAGATCTGATTATCCTCTATTATAATAAAATCTCTAAAATCATCTGATCATATCACTGAGGGTGAGGAGGGAAGAAAATCAAATCTTGAAGAAAGTGAAGTATCTCTTAATATTTGCTCTTCCATTTTGCTTGATAAAAATTGATTTGCTTGTTATGCTCTAGTTAGAATAAACTTTTTTAACTTATTTTATTTATGAATACAAGAACTGGGGTACAGGCCAGAGGTACAGGGTGGGGGTGTTGTGAGAGGATTCACCAGAGACAGAGTGGGGAGCAGAACAGGCAGACTGATGAAATACACTGCTGAGGGGAGCAGCAGGTGAGACAGGAAAGGTCTGCTGTGCCATGCGGGTCACCTCCCTGGCCGGGGATCAAACTCATGCTGCAATAGCTGCAGATTGCTTCATCGTGCTGACGCTTAACTCCTTGTGCCACCAGGGAGGCCCCTAGTTAGAATAACTTTAAAAATATTTTCAATGTTTGTATATATAAGTATATATACAAGAATATTGTAGTCTTTAAAGTCATCAACCAAGAGGTCAGTAGCACCACAAAATCCACTTAACAAGAAATTCTTCATAACGTGACAAGAACAGGCATATATAGGTTTCCATAAGATATATACATAGGGGGGGATATGTGGCAAAAGAGCAGATGAGTTTATTAAGGAAAAGACCATAGTATATTCACCTGTGGGTTCCCTAACTTAAACACAGGACCAAGAACTCAACAAGCATGCAATCAAGATTTTGCATCTTTGTTTATCAATAAAAGTATGTTACTATTGATGCAAAATCAAATGGAATCCAAGTCAGGTATACATATTCAGATCTTTAACATACACTTCTTAAACCCCACCAAAAAGGGTATCAAATACTCACAGATAACAGAGAAAATATACTTTACATTTTATCCTATATAGGATATCCTGATATTCTATCAGTCCAGTGGGGATATGCCAGGTTCAAATATTCTACAGAACTGCACTTTCATATCCTCAAATGGATGTTACAGCTTCTATGACCTACCATAAAATTGTACTTTTCTCCAGTAAACTGAGCTATATTTCACAGCAAGAATTTGTAGCCAGCTACATTATAAATGTAGCTACAACAAAATGGGCAAAGAGGCACACCTTAGTCACTAGAAGCTTCTTCAAATAAGATTTCATTTGTGAGTAATATGTAACTTTTCCTGAACAGCATGTCAAATTGAATATTACACTTGGGATAGAAAACTCAACTTGTGTTTAAATAATGCTCTTAGCCATTCTCCCCAGCTATATTTCTTAGAAATGACTAGGACCCCTAACCTAACTATATAATCATTCATTTTTTAAATGCAAATTATGAAAAGTAATTATAGAAAGGTTTGATAAAATCATTTTTATGAATATGATTTCTATGTCCATATTGCTGATTAAAAACTCAGGAGAGATTGTTAACACATTAACATTTATGAGACTTGTTTCCACAGAGAATACAGTTCAGTATATAAGGAGATAGGTTATATGGCTTTCCTATGACTGTGTTATCACTTATATGATGCAACTTAATAGAGCAATATATTTCTTTTACAGGGTAACTCAATGAATTATGCTAAATTACTTATGTTTAACTATAAATGCATTATGTAAACTTGCAAGTGACTGCGTTTCCCCCAGCATCTACCTCTAAAGCTATAGGGTTTTTTCTCCCTGAATTATGAGAAGAAATGATGACCTCTCAAAATTGTCTCGAACATCCACTTATAGATATACATCTGGCATTAGAAAGTTAGCTAGAAAATCGAAATATTCTTTTCCAGTCACTTAGGAAATGGTTGCCTATGCAACATGATTTTGTTGGGAAAGTGTGTTACCTCCCTGAGAGACCACTAGGGGTCAGTGCCAGGCTAATTTAACAACTAACCAGCACTTATAGAGGCATGAAGTTTTGAACTGGGTACAGTCAGAAAGGGTGAGAGAATTAGTACACTGCTGAGGGGAGCACAGGAGAGGTCTGCTCACCATGTGGGATCCTCCTCCGGTGGCCGGGGAGCAGCCGGGGATCGAACCGGCGCCGCAGAGGCCGCGGGCAGCTTCGCAACCCAGCGCTCAACCGCTTAACCAGTTTGAAGTTTGAATTATTTACAGAAGGGAGATTTCCAGAAATGTCAAAAATTCAGTTTCTCTATTAACACCAAATTACCTATCCTTCCTATCCTGGACTAAATTTTCTCACACCTGGAGGGCTTTATTACAATTCAGCATTCAAAATAAATTTTCCACCTCTCTTTTTGAAATATCATCCTGATATCTGCACAAGGAGGTATAAAGCAAATTAGGAATATTTCATAAAAGCATATTTATTTTCCTTATATCAAGCACTAACTGATCACTGCCAAGATTCACTTCTTCGCTGAGAGCCTTTGAATCATAAACATATTTTCTGTGCATGTTTTTGAAAATTAATCAACCTATAAATTATATTTATTTTGTATAAGTGTTATTCTTCTGAGGCCTGTTACATTTAAAAAGAGATGACAAACTAAGATCCAAAGAAAGAAAAAATTAGTGAGCTAAAATTGTGGATCAGATGTATTTAACATGTTTTTAATTTGCTGAAGCTTTTCTTCTGCTAGTTTTGTAACAAACAACATTAGATACATAAATTTTTTTAAATGATGAATGGATTTCTGGTCAGGCATCATTAAGCCAATTTCTCTAGATTGTTTTCATCAGATGATAAAGAAATATATACTATTTACTGGTATCTCTGGAAAAGTTCAGAAAGGTTGGGATGATGTTAATTGAAAGATTTCAGAACTATTAGTGGTGTGGTATGCATGCTCCTGAGGGTCAAGGAGGCGTCAGCAAGTTTTACTCTTTCAGGAGCAAGATAGCAGCCACTTTCTCAATAACCTTATAGTGGTACTAATTTGCAAACTAAATACCTAAGTGGAAGAAGAGTTTCATTGTTTTGAACAAATAAATTTGTACTCTTCGGTTCTCCTCAGACAAGTAAAGTTCCTCTGCTCTTTCTAACATAAAGTAAATCCAAGGAAAATTCAAATTGAGCTAATTCAATCAAATAAAAAGCTAAAATTCAGGCTTGCTGCTATTTGGCTAGAAATCTCCTCTGTTCTTGCAGACTTCTCCAGCCTGAGGGATTCCTCTTTCCAAAAGACTGGCTAGTGATGTGTGAGAGTCTCTCTCTCTCTCTCTCTCTCTCTCTCTCTCTCTCTCTCTCTCTCTCTGTCTCTCTCTCATTAGGGCATTGGAGCCTTGATGACTGGCTCAAAATTCCAATGTCATTTTCTATTAACAAAGAACAACTAGTGCCCAGCCTGTCCTGCCCCAGGGACCACACATCAGAGGAGAGGAAGTACAAGAAATGGCCAAAGTGGTCCCTCACCAAAGAATTTGCTGACGTGCAGCTGGGGCGAGGGTGAGGCTAGGACCCTCCCTCAGAGGTTGGCCAAACTCATGACTGCCCTGCTACCCTAACACAATTCAATCCTTGTGGGGTCTTGAGCAGCCAGCTGGCCCTTTTCCCTTGTCTAGACACCCTGGCATGGGTTCCTTAGGGACAAGTGCAGCCGGCCCCACTCTCCTAGGAACACTGTGCCTGCCTGGCACAGATTTGTCCTCTTCAGTTAAATTGGCAGAGAACCCCCAAAAGGGAGCTGCGGAGTGGGCTGGAGAGAGTTTGCTGATCTTTTGTGACTTCCCTTGAAAACTCTGTGCTCAGAATAGGATTCTTCATTTCTACTGGCTGTGTAACCTTGGGCAAATCACTTATCTAGCTGGATATCTGTCCTTCATATTGAGCAACAATCAGGCTCTGTAAAAGGCATTGCAACTGCAAAAGATAGACAAGCAAGATCCATGCTCTGGGATGTCCATGCTTTGGCTGGTATCAGGGTACCTTTGGTTAGGAGTCGTGTTGCTACAAGGCAGCCCCTTCTGACAGAATGGATTCCCCTGACCTGAATTTCCTACCTGCTGAGATGCTCAACCATGCCAGGACATGGAAGTGAGAGCAGTTGAATCAATCATTGGGCTCCCCAAAATATTAGCCTAGGACTTTCTGGAATTACTTTTCTTAGGGAATGGAAATCAGAAAGAGCTTCCATCCTGTCCATTGTTACATGATGGCCCCTGGACCCCAACATCCTCACCTCAGAGATGGGGAAGAGGCAAGCTACCAACCTTAAGGAATTGACGGGTTGATATATGAGGGGTTTATCCCCCAACCAAGGAAGAAATGGTGCTCTTAGCCTGTTGCCTGCATTTTGTTTTTAATTAAGAGAGAAGCCTGGCGGAGCATAGAAGAGAAGCCAGAAAGACAGCACTAAGCCTCCCCTACAGACCTGACCTCCATGTTCTTTGGGGGGTGTGGGGCCTGAATGTCCCAAGGGCCTATCACACAGAAATGGAGCTGGCTGCATGAGTACTCTGACCTGTGGAAGGGCAGGCCAGCTCAGCTGTGGAGAGTGGTTCCCACCCCTACAGCTGCTTTTTACCAAGATCAGGGATTTGGTTGTTTCAACACTCTTGCCAACTGTGTTCCTGATTAACTCTGGGCTGGTGACCACAGCCTCTGCCCCCTCTAAACAGACTGAGGTTGGGCTCTGAAAAAAAAGTCAGTATTTAGGAAAACCTCCTCCAGTATCTATAATTTGGCTTCCACACAGGAATTGCCCTGGGGCTATTTTGTTCCAATTGGGAGCCAGAAACTAATGGGCTCATTAACTAATGGGCAACAAGGATTTGGCTCTGCCTGTTGGAGGAGTCACCACAGTCCCCTGGTTATGAATGTGCTTTTTGCCATAACCTAAATAAATGCCTTTCTCCCTTCCCCTCTGCATCTCTCTCTCTCTCTCTCTCTCTCTCTCTCTCTCTCTGAAAGGAAGTTGCAGTGAGAGAAGAGGCTGGTTAAGTAAAGTTAAGTTAAGCAACCTCTACCAACTGAGTCTTGGGATTGGGGTTGAGTTGCCGTCCTTGGAATCCCTCCAGTGGCAGGAGGCTGGGGCTGTTGGAGAGGGGACTGGTGGCAGGGGCCCACCTGAGTTGTAGTTGACGATGTCCACTCCTAACGCTGGGCTCTTTCGCTTCCGGGGCCGCCCCTTCTGCACGGTGCCAGTGCCATTGAAGTAAGGCAGGGCCAAGCCGCCGCTCTTGGCCGCCAGCTCAGTGTAACTCAGCTGCGGTGGATACTCCCCTTGCAAGAGGGTCTCGAAGTGCGCGCGGCAGTACACCAGGCTGTCCTTCATGCCAAAATGGTCGCCCGTGGTCAGGGTCTTGTTACAGGTGGAGCAGGTGAAGCAGCTCAGGTGGTAGACAGAGTCTCGGGCGCGCATGACCATCTCGGAGGCAGAGATGCCAAGGTGGCAGCGGGCACATCTCTGCACAGAGAACCTTCTAGAAGGAAACAGACTAGTCAGGACTCTGTTTGAGGCAAAGGCATTTCCCACTCCTGGAGCTTGGTTAGCAGTGCCCCAAGACAGACAACTTGGGGTGAGAGACTCCAAGAGGAGAGGACACGGCCCCACTTAGACATTAATTTTATTTGTTTATTGAACTGTGCTGTTGAACCAGGACAAAAAATCCTTACATTAAAATTAGAGGAATCGGGTAACTGAGCCTCACTTTCCTTCTCTGTAAAGTGGAGATTAAAAAGAAGCCTGCACTAGTTCACAGTGCTATCGAACGAATATTAAATTGCGATACCAAGGAAAAACGTTTCATCGATTACAAACAGTCTAAGAACTGTAGGCGGGGAGAGGATTATTACTTATAGATGTGTGCGTGTGCGTAAAAGCGTTAAAACAGTCTCGGGAAAATGACAAATCTGCAGAGAAAAGCTTAGTCTTTTTTAGCCACCTCTCTCTCCTGGGCTGAGAGGGGAGCTAGCGCATCTGCACGAAGTTGTGTGTTTCCCAGTCCAGAAACAACCCGGCAGAGTCAATAAACACGCCTGCCGCTGAGTTTACTCACCAGTCTGGCGGGCACGGATTTAAGGGGCGGTAAAGGGAACTCGGGATTGAGTGGCTTGGGTTTGGGCAAAGGCACTTATTCCTCTCCATGGTCATTTACATGGTTTCCCCGCCATCCTCGAGAAATACCCAACACCTTGTTGCTGCCGCCGCCGGGGCCGCCAGTTAAGATGCAAGACGTGGACCTTGCCAGTTCGTAGTAAACGGAAAAAAAAAAATGCTCTAGTTTCAGAGGACGGAGACGCATACGTTTGCATCTTCCGGGATTTCCCCAGGTTCCCTCAAATAAGCTGCGAACTGTACCCCACACACACACCCCTCCGCTCCCCTATGCGTGATCTGCATTGATAAGCTCTAGACCTGGGGTGTCCGTCTCACCCTTCTTCACTGCCTGTCTGGGGGCGATGGAAATTCGAAGGCGATTGCAGTGGACTTCCTTGGTCTGGGGACTGACAACTGAACCCCCAAGGGGCGAAAGGTAGGGGGACAAAGAGGGGACTCTTCGGCTCCAGGCAAACGTCGGGCTGGTTGGCCCGCCAGGTGAAACCGGTGCGTAAGGGTCAGGGGCGCAATACCTGTAATAATCCTCCTTGCAGTAAATGCTACCGTCCTTGGCGAAGCAGGTGAGCTCGGACTCGAGGGCCAGCTTACATTCGCAGCACTTCAAGCACCTCAGGTGCCACTGTTTGTCCACGGCCAGCAGGTAGTACCTGTCCGAGATCTTGCCCCCGCAGCCGGCGCACAGAGCGGGCTTCTCGGGGCTCAGCGGGGGCATTCCCTGCAAGGCAAACACACCGCGCGGCTGAGGAGGGCGCCGGGTGGGGCGGCACAAAGCGAAGTTTCCCCCGCGCCGCGCGAGCCCAAGCGGTTCCCCCAGCGCACCTACGGCCTGGACCACGTGCAAAGGCAAACGTCGGGGGGACCTTTGTAACTGTCCCCGTCGCAGCTCGCTGCCTTTCCGCGGCGTCTGCCTGAACCCCGCGTTCGTGTCCTCCCGGGACTATTCACTTAAAAGACCAGCCATCTCGAGCCGCCTTTTAAAGGGTCTAGGAGCGCATTAACCACAGTTTTGAATGTTCCCGAACTCGAATAATTACAAGCTAAAAATGGTGGGTTTTAACCGCACAAAATAAGACAACGGAAACTGTTACTCGGAGCGTAAAGGAGATTTGAACGAACCCCTATTGTTTTCTTAAACAAACAATATTACATTTCTGTTTCACTAAAATCTCCCAGGCAGCGCTGTAATGGAAAGGAAGGGAAAGATAATGTGTGCGCTCATAGTTTGGTTGACATTGCTTTGATCGTAATATTCTTGGCAGATCTCGTTTTCCTCTAATTTTCGGGGTTATGGGTCCTTCTCCCACAAAGGATGTAAAGTGCTTGTTCCCCGGGAGGGTCCGCTGTCTGGTCTCCTCTGCACGGTCGTCCCTCCGACCCAGGCATCAATATCCCAGGAGATCTTTGTCCTGAAAATCGCAGTTGCCTAAGTTCCCGCCTGCGTCCTACCGATGCGGTCAACGATGGAAAAACCTCACCTTAGAGAGCCCAGTCCCGCCGAGAAACTCAGGTTTGGGATGCTATTTTTTTTTGTTTTTACATAGGATAGCCACAAAAGGGGGGTGCTGAGGGGGGCGAGTTAATCTCTGGACTTTTCCCTCAAGACTAGCAAAAATGTGTTGCAGTACTTCCACGAAACTTTAGCGGGCCTGGAAAGGGAAAGGAAAGTTTCGCCCTTTGCTCAGACCAGTTCCCCCCACCCATACCCTGAAATCATGTTGCAAATGTGGAAGCGCCCACCAACTCCACGACGTGGCGGGACCCGAAACACCCGAAACACCGCCGACTCGCCCAGAGCAGTCTCCCGGGTGGATACACAGTTCTGTTGGGCTGAAATCATTTCCGGAGACTTTTGTAGTTTTCCCTCTTCAGCTGATAAGTGGGAAAGAGCAGCTCTAGAGTATTGACTTGATAAAGCAGAAGTGACTTGTATTATGAATAATAGTGACAGTGGTCGCTGCTTATATCGGGTAAAGGTTAGAATTGCCTCCCTCTTGGGCTACGTGCCCCGCTCCTTTGGGTTGTGTGTGTGTGTGTGTGTGTGTGTGTGTTTCTAATTCCATTTCCCGCTACACGTTGCATCCGCTCTATTAGGGAGCTGAACGCAGGATTGTCTCGCTAGAGAGGCGAACCAGACTGCCAGAGGCCACGAAAAACGCTCATTTTAGGGGTGCCTAGATCCGAGAGTCCGGAACCTCGCGAGTGGCCCAGCCTGTTCAGTCCACTGCAAAGGTGCCGTCCTGCACCCCAGAGGGTGCCGCCAGGGCTCCTGCTTGTCTGGGGCTCCTTGGCAGCGCTCCGTCTGCCCAAGGCCCGCGCCCAGCTGGCCCTCTGGCCTCTGCGCCTCGCCCGGGAGGCGCCCGGGATTCGAGGGGGACCGGAGCGCGAGTTGAGGACTGCGGACGCGGGCATCCCATCGTCTCACTCCCCGGCACGCCCAGCTCTCCGATGGGGAGCGAGCTTCGGGTCTCGACAGTGTAGACGTCTCAAATCCGAAGGGAGGCCCTTTTTTCAGTCCCGCAGACAAGCAGCCTGGAGAAAACCCACCCGCCAGTTCAGAGAGGACGCGCTTACGCCCCGCCATCGCCCCTCGGCCGGCCAGGGAAGCGGCTCGGCTGCGCGGGGCGCGCGCGGGCGCCGGGGACCGCGGGCGCCGCGGGGCCCTCCTTACCGCGTCGCGGCCGTTGAGCTGGGCGCCTTTGGCCAAGCGGGCCTCGGTCTTGGATCTGCGCTCCATCTCCTCCATGATGCCTTGGATGTGGCCTCCGGAGATCCCGTGGAAGAGCATGGCTGGGGGGCGGAAAGGACACGAGTTGTCTTCTGCTCGGCACCCCACTATTTCCATATACACACGCCCGGGGTTTTCAGCTCATCCGAGTGAAGGAGCAGGAGGGAGCGCAGAGCGCCAGGCGGTGGGGAAGCGCCGACAGGCTCGCGGACAGAAAGCAAGAGGGAGAAGGGAAGAAGAAAGCCGCAGACAGATTGGAAATTTGGTCTGCTTGGAAAAGAAAACAGAAGAAGGGGGGGACAAGCCCAGCGGCTCCGCGAAGGAGATGTGCAGAAAACAAACACGGGTGAAGGGGAAAGGAGAGGAAGAAGGCGAATCGCACTGCTCTGAGAGATCGAGTTACTAATGGGAAACAACTGCAGCGGGGGGCAGGAAAACAAAATCTGGTGAAGAAAGAAAATAGTTTTGAACACAAAGAAAGAAAAAGAAGTGGTATTTTCAGAGGTCCCTGGCTGCTTGCAAGTTCCCAGTGCCTGTAGGTTGGGTTGGGGACTGCTCCTGCCGGAGCTGGGTCCAATTTGTTAAGAGACTAAAGCCAGCCCATTTTTGATAATTTAGTAGGAGGAGTTCTCTCCCCGGAGCTGCCACGGATTTTTATTCAGACAACAAAGACCTGTCATACTCCTCTCAGCCCCCTGGTGATGGGCAAGCGGGGACAAACATTACAAAGGGGGGGGGTAATGAAGGGGGAGGCAAGAGGAGGCATTTACTTCCCCAAAAAACACACGCACGCGCGCACACACACACACACAGACACACACTTCTAAGAGTTCCCAGCAGTCGTGTTTCAAAGGGGAAAAGGAGCCCTTATTGTCCCCCGCCCCGGAGCAGGAGGCAGAGAGCCCAACAATTTGGTCCGAGTTCAAGATCAGACCCCAGTTAATGACGTACAGAATGTCAGCTCCAAGTCTGCGTTTCCTTCTTGTGCAATTTCTGATCCCTACCCTATGGGAATAGCACCACAAACAAGTCAATAATGGACAAAAAATGCATGCACTTCACTGAAATGTAGATCATTCTTCCTCTTCTCCCTGCCATCTCTTCTTCAACTCACTTTTTCAAAGCAGCTGTCTGCAATCCATCCTGTCCCAACTCACTCATTAACAGAGGGTCACCTACTCCTGGATGACCTTCCAGGGGCTGTAGCATCCCCTGAAGTGAAAGCGGGCATGTAGAGCCCAGGTTTCTAGAGTTTACTTTTAGTAAAAAGATTTTCATTGAAAAATTAGTGTAAGGGACAGAGCAAGGACTTGGAGGTTCAGGTAGACAAGTGAAGTGTGAGCTAGGGTTATGTATTCGTTTACCCAGTTCAGGTAGGCAGGAAAACTGGCAATTCTAGTGTCTGGGCTGACACTTGACAATGTGGTCAGCAACTCAGAGACTCCCGTGGAGCTTGGCACCCCTTCTCCCTAGTGACTAGCTACTTGCCCTACGTATGTGCTCTCTTCATGCTGCCCTTGCAGGACAGGGGACTTGTAAAACAGGATGCACCACACATTTCGGAGGATGTGAAAGGGGCTCCTCGCTGTGGAGGAGGGGGAAGGTGAGAGCTGACAAGCAGAATGGCAGTCCAGCACCTCACAAGAGGTGGGATTGTTCTCTCTGCCTCTGTTCCTGTTAGTGGCAGCCCCTCCTTGGCCCTATTAAAAAGTGTCCACAATACTCTAATATTGTCGATTCATTCAAATCATCAGAAGCCCAGTAGGGGCCCAAAGCACAGCGGGCCGGGCCGTGGCGGGAACCAATCCAGCTTTAACCAGAGAGAGGAGGTAGCCCTCCGCTCCTTCCCTGCCTCGGGCCTGCCTCTATTGCCCACCGCTCTCCACGGGCTTTACAGACACCGCGGGCTTATGTCCTGAGGAGGCCTGAATCCTTCACTGGAGTCCCATGGGCCGGACACACTTCCCCCTGACTTGCAACGTGGCCAGTCCTGCAAAGATGAAGGAAGAGAAAGAGAGGGTGAAAGGAAAGAAGGAAGAGGGAAGGGAAGAAGGGAGAGAGAGAAGGAGGATGGTGGGGGGAGAAAATGAGGCGAGGGAGGGAGGAAAGAAGGAAAGATGGCAAGGAGGGATGGAGAGAGGGAAAAGAAGGAAGGAAGGAAGGAAGGAAGGAAGGAAGGAAGGAAGGAAGGAAGGAAGGAAGGAAGGAAGGAAGGAAGGAAGGAAGGAAGGAAGGAAGGAAGGAAGGAAGGAAGGAAGAGACAAGGGAGGGCACTACTCTTGCTGCCGCGGCCCGACTTCCTGGACCAAGCATCATCCTCCGAAGCCGCTGGAGTCACCTCTTCCACGAAACCCCAAATTCCACTGCTTCCCTTTGCTCTTTTCTCAGGGTCAAAAATAATGTTATTTGCAGACTGGACGCTGTTACGATCCTCCGGGTGCCAGAATACAGCTCATAAAACACAATTTCACACAAAAATGAAGCCAATCAAGTGAACTAAGCTGGAGACCTCCCCCTCACTTTGGCAGCCCTACCGGACAGCAGGGCTGCTATTTACTGTAAGTAATGTAATTAGCCCCTTTGGATGGAAATCAATGAGCTTTTCAAACCCACGTGCACAACCCAAGGGCCCCTAGGAGGGGGTGGGGGCAGCAGAACTTTCATAGACAACAAGTCCTCTCACAAAGGGGCAGATTGCCTTCCCACCAGCCAGCGGCTAAACCCACTCAGACCCCGAGGAGGAGAAGAGTGGTCTCCAGAAGAACGTCACCCAGTTAGCCCATGCAGCTCCCAGGGAAAAAGAAAACAAGTACCCTCAATCCAGTCACCCGTTTTGTCTGGTTTCTGGGCTAAACTCTTCTCCCCTTGCATATGGGGGGTGTCTGGAATTGGGTTTGGTTCTTACTTCATTTTGGCAACAAAGAACACAAGCACACCACTTCCTTCTTGCAAGAGATAAAACTTTGGAGAATTCATGAAGAGAAAGTTTAACAAATAACTCCAGGAAAAAGCTTGAACTTTGTGAAGTCTCCAGGGAAGCCAAGCACAGAAGTTCTATCAGCCCCCCTCCACCGCCCCCAGCCTTTCATTCATTCATCTGTTCCAACCCGCTTATTAGTTGCCATCTATCAGGCACTGGCAGAGCAGGGCACCTGCTTGGATGCTAGCTTTGTCCTCTTTCTTATAAAATTCAGGTTATAAGTTCCTGCATAAACTGGGATTTGCTACCTCCCATAAAGAAGCAAACTGCAAGGATTCTTCCTTCTCAGCCAAAGCAGGAAGTTTGTAGAAAGTTAAAGCTGGCCGGGGGAGGGGGGCTGATAGAGTTTGGAGGTCCTTGTTATTTCTGCAGAAATTGCTCCCCATTTGTCCAGCCCTGTCCCCTCTCACAGTTCCTTTCAGAGGAGAAGATGGGGATGTGGGTTGCTCCAAGAATTGGGTGTGGGACCTGAGGTGTTCTAGTCTTTTGGAGTCCTGGGAGTTACCTTAACAGGACCCATCATGCTCAAAGGACTTTAAGCACCATAAGGAGAGCATCTTTGTGCCTTGGCCTTCCTTCCCCTCTCATGAGGATAGGCTGGGGTCCTGCTTGGGGCAAAAAGTCCCATTGGAGCTCCATAAAAGGTGGAGAGCTCCTGCTTGGCTTGTTCAGTTCCTGGGGCTGAGCTGTTGCCTTTCTCAGTGGATCAGGTGCCCAAGGTTATCTCCCTCCACCCACCAGGAATAAGACCTGCAGTCATCCTCTCTGAAGTCAACACTATAAGGAGCAATGGAACAGAACCCTGGCAAGGTGCAGCCCTCCCTCATTCTTAGGCACACGCAATTCACTTTTTTCTTTCTGTTCCACCAGCCACCTATTTGGCTACTGCTAACAGGAAAGTGGGTGACTGTTCTCCAGTGGGATAGAGGAGCTGGAATTGAAGGTTTCCAGGTCTGCAATCTCTAGGAGAGGCAATGAGCTTGGGCACCTTGTTCCTGGGTTCCAACCCCATCAAACTCTCTGGACAGGAGGAGAAATGGAGTAAAGGGAACGGATGACTAGGGAACCTCAGAAGCTTTAGGCTCCAGGAAGGAAGATAATCCAGCAAACCTGCATCTCTTGAGAGAACTGGAGACTGAATTTCTCTTTTGAGCTGAATTTTGGAGGCCAAGATCCCTTAAAAAAGGTAGCGGTCACCTTTCCATCAGCCCCTATTATGGAATTGAAGATCCCCTTTGGACTGAAAGGTGCAGCTCCTAAGCAGTGTCCTGCTTTTGGCACGGTTGTGAACACCCTAAGGTGGGGTGGTGGGAAGGCAGCTTTGTCTGGAGCTGGGAACCGGGCACTCCGCACCAGGCCACCCAGCCCTGGATGCTCCGCTGAGCGCGTGGTGAGGAAGTCTGGGGGCCGGGGTGGGGGAAGGGGAAGTCTGGGGCGGGGGACATGGAGAATCTCTAAGTGCAAACCTTCCCCCACCCCCAAGGTTGACAGTGCCAGACAGGCGCTGCTGCACAGGCACTTCTCTGATTCAATCCCACCAGAAAGGCCTCGCTCAAGATCAGATGGAAATGGACAGAGCGGAGCTGGGGTCCCGGGAGCTCTACTGCGTGGAGAGAGAGAGCTGCCGGCGCGCCCCAGCTGCTCACTTTGCCCAGGTTTGCTCCGCGCAGCTGGCACGCCAGCACCCTGCCCTTAGCGCGCTCTTTGCCCACGCACACCCTCCGCACCCTCCAAGCTTCCCGCCGCCTTCTTGCTCCCTTCAAACCTCGGTCCTTCTGCGGTTCTTTTCCAGCCCCGCGGCCGCCAAGTCTAGAACACAGCGCTTCTGAAATCTGAAGCCCCTTTACCCGAGATTTGCCGCGTGGTTGGCCCTCGGTCGCCCCAGGAATAGGGGGAGGCGTCCCGCACTGTGTCCGCTGAGATCGCGCAAAGAAATGGCTGCGCGAGGTTTGGATTGAACAAAAAAACTGGGTGAAGCCAGTTTCCAGTTAAGCTCTACGCGGCGAGAAACGTTGTCTTTCGGCAGCCCCCACCCCTTCCAGTTGGGAAACGCCCCCAGCAACTCCGCGGAGGATCGCGAGCGCGTCCTCAAGCCCCTGAAGACTGGCTCTGTGTCACCGTGACCTCCGCTACCGCCCCCACCCTGTAGAGCGCCAGAGACATTCAAGAAGCAGCAAAAGGGGGGAAAAGCAGAAATCAGTAATCCTGTCTGGAGACTGAACGAGACTATGTTTTAGAGCCGACGAAGCGCGGTTTAATTTCTAAGACAAACACACACCCCTCTTCCTTCGCACCCAATAAAGGTGCGCACACACACACACACACACACACACGAAAAACACGCCGGCCCAAGAAAAAGGATAGAGAAAAATGGGAAGGGAGCTGGCATAGGACTCACCTGCCTCTAGAGTGGTGCCGTTCAGCATTCTTAGAGCAAAAGGTGATCACGCCTTTCCGGTGGCTGTCCTGGAAGAGAAAGCCTTCCTTCAGCACGGCTGGCTGTTTGGTCCGAGGGCCCCAAGCGCCTCCTACCACCCGGTGGGGCGTGTCGGAACCGCTCTCCCCGCCGCAACCTCAGCTACCCAGTGGCTTCCAGGGATGCTCGCCGCGCCAGCCTCGGGTAGGTGTCCGAGGCGCTCCTGGTGCGCACGGCCGTCTGGCCACACTACCGGGGTAGAAAACCACTCGGACAAGAAAATCCATATCGGGATCTTACCTTGAGGTTCAGATGCCCCCCTCAATAACCCGGTCCTGGGCAACGGAGAACCGGAGGCGGCAGCCAGAGGAGCGGACCGGTCCCCAGGTTTCGCCAAGGGGTTCTCTGTTAATCCAAATAAATAAGCCTTGAAAATCTCTCTCTCTCTCTCTCTCTCTCTCTCTCTCTCTCTCTCTCTCTCTCGGAATTGACCCAAATCCTTCACCTCTGACCTTCAGCTCCCTCCACCTGTCTTTTATTTTCTGTTTATGCCTCCAAAAGGGAGGGGCAGGGAGGAAGGAGTGGTGGGCAGAGGGCACCGATGCTGGCCGGTGCCCGGAGACACGCTCTGAGGCTGCGTTCAGCCCTTCCAACCTCTCAATAATCAGAGGAGGTGTTAATGGAGGACTCGGCCGTAACAGAATCTCATAAAGCCGAGAGCATCTTGAGGCTTGGGCACAGCGGGAGTGCTGGAGTCCCGCGGCGCGCCCTGGGCTCCCCGCCCCCGAGCCGGTCTTTGCCTTCCAGGAGCTCGTACCTTAAAGATGCTGCCGCCAGCTGGTGCCTGCATAGACGGTGAATGGGCGGTAGCTCTGGCGGGGAGCTGGGCTAAGCCATTGATTGCTAACAAGCCATACCCCGCCTTCCCCAACCTGTCCTTCCTTCACTCTCGGCGCTCGCAGACTGGGCGCCAGGGACCCAGCGCTTGGAGGTGCACTGTGCGCTCCGGCTCCGCGCGCTCCGGAGGTCAGCGCGCAGGAGGGGGATCCTTTCCCCTTCCTGGCCCTAGCCAGAAAAGCGGGGTTGGGGGTGGGGGGTAGCGGTTAAGCTATTTGGAGAAAACCAATTCAACCCCTGGGAGACTCAAACAGCAAGACACAGACTTAGAGCCAAGGGACAAGGCGGGGGCCACGTTACCTGGTCTCAGGTTCCCGAGGGTCTGTGTCGCCCCAGCTGTCCAGCGCGCAGGCAGGCCGCCGAGAAGCCGAGGGAGAACCAGAAGACTGGGCCTCTGGCCAATTATTTACCCACTTTCCCACCAGTGTGCCCTACACTGTTGGAGATGGGGCGAGGGTTCACTGAGAGGCTCCCGCGCTGAAGGGGAAGTGGGTGCAAGCAGCGAGATTGGCCGCTCCGGGGTGCGAGTCCGGGTGATGATGCCGCCCTCCCCACCTGTCCCTCCCCTCGTGCCATCATAGCGTCTCCTCCCGGGTTCGTGGGCCGACGGCGCGCGGGGCTGCGAGCGCCCGCGCACCCACGGGCAAAAACAGCATGGGCTGGGTGGCACGTGGGACAGTCACCGATAGACCCACCTCGAACCCGCCCCGCAGGCTCCGCCACATAGTTTAGAGGTGGTCAGGGTCCACCAGGAGCTGCGAATCGAAGCCCTTTGGTTTTCTGGTCCCACCCCAAATCCCGGAATGAAGTTCCGAGCACCCGGGGCAAGAGTCCTCTTTCTCCCCCAACACTGCTTCACAGACTAGTCCCAGCAAGCAACTAGTCCCACGAGTTTACCTTTACCTTCTTAGCTCCCCGACCCCGACTTTGATCTTTCCATCCCGACCTCCTTAGCGTTGTACTTTTCGAGGATTCACCCGGTCTCAGTCCGTTTTTTTTTGCAGCCACGGAGAGGGCAAGCCTGCCAGGTTCAGCTTCTGTGTGCGCTGCTGAGGTCCTGGAAAGGACCGACAGCGACACAGACCCAAAAAGGGCTTCGGTGTTCTCATGCATGCCTGTTCAAAGTTTTCATCTTCTTTGGGATCACAAACCATTTTAGGTATTTGGTAAAAGCATACACAAGCGCACCCACGCACTGAAGTGCTCGTTGAAGATCACACTTTAAAATACAAATTTTAGGTAGGAAGATGCCATCGTCACAAACCTCCCAATCTCCCTAAAACCCAAGATGCCTGAGTTACACTCTTACAGCCATAATCAAGGGGGCGGGGCACGAGTGTGGAGGTCTGTGTCATGAACTCAAGCGTGAATCTGTTTGGGGGGCAAGGGTCAACTTGGCAGGGTGGGGGTGGGGAGGGCACCCCATCATACAGCAAGGCATCCAGAAATCCTGGGGATGTTGGATATTCCAGGGACGACCCAGTCTTAGGTAAAGAGAGTTACATGGTCAGAAAACAGGTTCTCCACATGAGGCTCACAGGAGGATACTGGCACCCCCAAAACTAATTCTCTCTCTCTCCCTCTCGCTCTCCCTCTTTGCTTCCCTCCTTCCCCCTATGAGTGTGTTTGTATGTCCCTCTGACTTTTTTCCAAAGGAAGGGGATGCTTTTGGGAACTGTAAGCTCCCTTTAATTCCTGCAGGATAGGACAAAAATAGAACCAAGCTTTAAATCCTCCACCATGCCAGTGGTCCAGTCCACACACCAGAGGTTTTGTCCTAAGGCAACAAGATGAAATGGCAGGTGTTGGCATGGAGTGGAGGGGGAAGTTCCTTCTAGGTTAGCCAGTTTGCGAGGTGGTCCCAAAGTGCTCACAGGAAGGCAACATGCTGATTGCCATTTGCCTGGCAGTGAACCCCCTTGTCTACTTATGCCTTGCTGGTTCTGGTGGATCAGCCAGGATGTGGAAGAGGCTTGTGAATGTTTAGGACAAGAAACACTGCAGTTGAACAAAGACCAGTGCAGGGCTCAGGGAACATTTTGCCTTCTTGCTGCCCCTTCGGTTCCATACACATCAGGTTGGAAGTCCTGTGTCTCACTTGGGGGGAAAAATGGAAGCCTTTTCCTTCCTTGCTCTGCATAATCAGTGGGACCAAAGTGGCTTCTGAAAGGAGGGGAGTGTGCCCCGGGGTAACCCACCTGCTGAGAGGACAAGAGAGCACAGGACCTTTCCCTGCTAATTGAAGACCTGCGGCTCAGGAATCTATCCCCCTACAAGATCCCCCAGCTTCTGTTGGCTCTCTCCCTGTTACAAACAATGTAGAAATCTGTCTTCCTTGATTTATGGGGCCTTTGTGGCAGGAGTCTCCAGAAACCTTGAGAGTGAAGCAGTACCACAGTTGATTAAACGGGGGAGTCTCTATTTCTGGGCATCTGCATGTGTTTGTATACACACATCCAATAAGAAACCTGATTTTTACTTTACAATGTGCGAATACAATATAGCTTGAAGCTCTGGCAGCGAGGCCCATTTATGTGGCCATATTGTGTTTAATGTGGGAGCAGACGCCCCGGCCGCCACCCCTGCCATGTGGTTACAGCATCCCTCCAGAACCACAGCGGAGAACTTCAGACCTTGCCTGGCGGGCTCCAGATGCAGAAAAGAGTAAGAGTGCCCCTCCCTTCTGCTTCCCTCCAACCGGTGCCTCTTTTGCTACTGTCACCAGCAAGTCTTGAAGTTCTGCCAGGAAAAATGGTCCATCACTGAGGTCCACAGAAGGTTCATCCATGGCAGACATCCGGAGTCTTTCCTTTTGGGCCAGTTCCCTCCTACAGGAAAGGGGCTGAAGGAGGAAAGAGCCACCTCTAAGAAGCTCTAGGGAAAGAGATTTCCATACGCCAAAGGATTTTCTCAAAACTCTACCTTATATCAGGGCCCCCTTTCAAAATGATTTTCCTTTCCTCTTTCCCTTGTGTTCCAGAAAAACAACCATTTTAGACTCCACTTCTTTCTCTTCTCCCTCTTTGGATTGCTGAAGAAAGTGTCACCTGGGAAATGGTCTTGGTGATAATCAAATCTAGTGGAAAACCTGGAGCTGGCTGGTTGTTTCTTGACCTAAGAATGGAAAGGAAATGGATTCCTAGGAGTCCAAAAACCTTTCTAGAAAGATTGTTTTCTTTACCACCACACAGAAGATCCCTTTCTCCTATTAACCTCAAACTAATTTCTGCAGAGGACACCACCAGGAGGGGCCAGGGCAGTGCTACTAGGGAACCACAGGTAGAGCACAGGCAGTACTTGGGCACTGAAAATGCCATTAATTTGGGAAAACAATTTGATATTTGACTTAAAAAGAAACATAAGAAATCACAATCAGGGAAGAAAATAGCACCTTACTTGATTAGTTTTTCATTTGTTTTACATTTGAGAAGGGCTTTTGTTTCGAAGGGAATATATGGAAGAAGTCACCAGCTGCTTGATTGCTTAAGATCCTTAAAACCCTTACAACAGGCTTCAGGCAGAGACTAGGAAGCTGCCTGAGATGTTGGAGAACCATTCAGATTCCACGGGAGGTGGGGGGAGGGGAGGCTGAAGATCAGCTCGCAGGAAAGCCAGGCTTCCAAATGGACAGCAGCTTCATTTTACTAAACAGCTTCCACAGACAAGAAAAAGATCTCAGGGCAGGGGGAGAGGGGCAGGTATGTGGGGATTGGGGGTGGGGGAGGCACTGTTCTCTGAGGGAAGCAGAGAAAGTTTGGAGAGAATAGTCCTTGGTAGCTCCCCACCAGTTTGGAGACTGATGTCCACAGCAGTAGATGGCTGGCTAAAGATTAATAAAATATTCCTAGACAGATTTGACATAAAAAATGGAGCAGGAAAATGGAGGAGAAGAAAGAATAGTCTAGTGGAGGTCTCTTAAATGGCCTGAATCCAAGACAGAATGATTTAAAGATTTTATTGAGAGAACAGATGGAAGATGAGAGCATTTCTTGACACAGAATGGCACTTCTTGTGCACTCATATGGGCTGCATAATATAGCATTATATTAATCTCCTTATAACTCAAAATAAATAAAATGAAGAATGTATTCAAACTCTTGTATTTGCCAGTAACCTCCCTTGGGTTGCTAACACTGAGGAGAAAACAGTAGGAGAATTTAGACTACAGGAAAAATCAAGAGCTACTAATGTGACCCAATTGCTACTATTTATTTAATGGAACAGTCATTATTTTCTTTCTTTAACATATGTGTCTGATAATAAAGCAAAAGTAAAGAAAGATAACTATTGATGTGCCACTTCAGAAACATACAAACAGTTGCTAGCTTCTTCATTTATTGACATTTTAAAAATATATCTGCTTAAGATTAAGTTAGTGTTCAAATACTAACAGCACAATGGACAATTCTTGATTAAGGTTTTAATTATTTATTTTTTAGAGTCTCAAATAGATGGAGAACAGAGATGAAATTGTTGTCAAACATAAAAATACGAATTGAAATGCTTCCGTTTAGATGAATCTTTAACATTGACTTGACCATATGGACACTAGAAGAAATAAAAAAAATAATTATTGAATTATTTAACAATCATCTTGAAAAACTACAACACTCTCATTATTTAAAAAAAGAGTCTGCTAGTAATGTTATGGAGATCATTTGATCTGTCAGGTCCTGCAGGCTGAGAGGAGAATAATGGCAACCTCTGGCAAATGGTCCTAATTAGGGTCTAAGAATCACTTCCTAAATGCATCCTTCCAGCTTTAAGAATTTTACTGTCAAAACCACTCTTAGAAAATCCTTACGTCCTCAATTTATGTAAAGCTTTTATGCATTTGATTAGAAACATAATGGCACAGGTAGGAACATAAAAGTGTGCAAGCTTAATTTTTCAATACTGGTTACAGTTCATATATGTACTTAGTGTCTATTCCTTAATTATAAAGTGGTCAGCTAAAAGAAATAATACCTTTTGCCCCAAAACATACAAAGTAAAATCTGTAAACAGATCACTGTTATTATATAATCTTAATTAGAATCTGTTTATAATCTTAATTCTCTAACAATTTACCTTACAAGCATGCTTGTATAAAGCTATTGAGAAGAACTCACTCCCATTTAATTTTTGCTCTAAATAGGGAAGAAATAGTTCATTTTAATCATTGAAGAACAGAAAGACATATCAACTGAAATATACATTTTAGGAAGTATACAGCACTAAGTCTGAGATAGCTAATTTCATAGTTAAAGACAAGAAAGGAAGTAAGGGTGGGAGAGAGACAGAGACAAAGAAAAAAGGGAAGATGAGGAGGAAGGAAGGAAGGAAGGAAAGAAGGAAGGAAGGAAAGAAATGACTATCATTTAAAGGGAATCCATCTCAATACTGGGCAAGTTTCAATTTATTCAGCTAATAATGAAGAAATATGCTTTCTGGGATCTAGTTTGCAACATTCTAGATTTCTTTTCCTGCTCTCTTTGTACTTGCCTAGTGAACATGACTTATTTGAAACCTCATGAAAAGTTTCCTGGTAATAAAGAACTCCCATGAATTTCAAATCACAGCATTTCAAGGAACTGATGCTCACAGTGAAATGTTACAAAATGTCATTAACTTTAAAGGTCCTATGTTGGTCCTAAGGACTTCATTGTCCTTGACTAAAGTAGCTTGTGAAATGTGCACTCCAGGTCTATTGACTTTTTTATTTGACTTGTTTTTCAAATAATCAGTATTTACAAAGTTACAGAAGCACGGAAAACTGCTGTAATGTGAGAATTTGCTACTCACGTGTCTGCAGGCAGAGCCGCAGCATTTTCCTCTCTGTAAGTGGGCGAGCTGAGTGAGCACCACATAACCAGTAGCTGGATCCACATAGGTTAGCTGGCCAGCCTGAAGAGTAATGAAATAAAACAATTCATTAATCTCAATATTCATCATATCTCCTCACCATAATTTCTACTCATAAAATACTGTGAAAATTTCTTTAAACAATATTAAACTTCTACCCAGCAATTTTAGTGGCATTTGCAATTAAAGACTGAATGCATTCCAATATTAGACACACTCCAACTTTATGTGACACAAGGAGAAAATATATAGTTTGAGAAAAATGAGAAGTTGATGGAAAAACAAGAACTCCTCTATAACCAATAACTATGTAGCTACTTCTCAGGTATTTTTCATTCAGTTTCTAAGTAACAAGTTTAATAACAGGTGATTTAGATGATTTTAAGAGCTTAAGAGGCTGAAAATGAACTTTCACTCAGAAGTTGCAGTTGCAATTTTAGTACTTAAAATATGTGGGTAATGATTGAAACTTACAGAAAAGGTGCTAATCAAAACCAACAGTTCTTCCAGAAAAGTATTACCTTCACTATTATTGAACACTTTTCTTTACCTTCATGATGTGTTACTCCACTGCACATTTTACACTATTTTCCTTTTTTGGAGTGTTAGTTTGGTTTTTAAAGGTGGGGGGAGTATTGTTTTTAACATTTAACACTCAATGCTTTCACCAGTTTGAGCAAAAGCAACTTTTACTATACCCCTTCAAATGTCAAAGAAACATTGTCTATCTACATTGAAACAGGCTTTAATAAAAAGCGTCCCAAGCATTATGTGTGAAGGCAAAGTATAAAATGCAATGTCTACTGTGCATTTGTGCCTTGTCCATGATACTACTTATCCCTGGAATTTTGTGGAGGAACTTTCTCTGTTTTTTAGCAGATCTTTTGTACCTCACAGTCACTCTCCATCACTCTTACAGAGTCTTTTCATTAAAATACACAAGAGACTTGAAAGTCTTCTAAAATACCTGTTTGTATGTGCCATAAACAATTTATTTCCCTTGATGGTTGAACAAAAGGGCCAACAGAGTTCAAGTCTGGGTCTACTCTAAGGTATTCCAGCAAAGCAAGGCCAGGGCAGCAGAAATATAGCAAATAAGTCCCAAGGCCAGTCTAAGAAGGGGGTCACAAGCCCTTTGGGACCACAGAAGAGGATTACATGAAACCAGGACCACTAAACACTGGAATGACCCATTGTCAAGGTCTCACTTCTTTATTTACAAAGACTGTTTAGAGACTTGGAAGAGCAACCAAAAAAAAAAAAAAAAAAAAAAACACTGTCAAGCCTGTTAACAACTTTCTTTTCCCTTCTCATAGCTTCTGAAGGCAATTTATCCGGCAACCTGGAAGCCTAACAGATTGTTTCTGTGCTTTTGTCTGCCCTCCTGCTTTTCACTGCTACTGAGAAACTGAGCTTGTGGGCTGCATGCACAACTCAGTCAGGGAGCCTCAGGGAATGGTGGCAACAAAGATGCTCAGGAGTGACACTGACAGGTTGACTCCAGAGGGAGATGTTCAGTGACACACAGCAGCACAGAGAGAGAGGTAAGGGAGCTTCCTGCCTTGAGGTGTGGAAGGAACACTTGTGAGTGGCTCTGGTTTGTCAAAACAGAAAAACAATATATTGTTATTGGGTTTACTTATGGAGTCTGGGCAGCCATTGCACCTATGGCATTAACTCTCACTCAAGAGTATGCAAGTCTTTGCTTCCTCAGGCTGACTGAGCCTGTCTTTACTGGTGTCTGCTCTAAAAAGAATGAAACTTGTTGCTTCATCTTCTAGATTTATATGGTTCACTTCATGGTTTTCTGCCCTACTCCTTGACTCCAGCCACCTCAGAGAACATAGTCCTGTCAAGCACTGGTCATACACAGTTTATTAAGTAGTTTACTTTCAAATCACTAACAGCTTTCACTTCTCATAGTTTCTGAAGGCAATTTATCTGGCAATCCGAGAGAGCTTTGCTCTCTCAAGACAACAAAAACATGAATATGCTACTGTTCAATTCATGTAGTCTGAGGTGTTGGAAACCATAAGGAGAGATGCATGGTTTGACACTGGCACTAACAAGCAATTGTCAAATCCCTAACACATAACTCAAGACCGTCTAGGTTGGAGGTAAACACCTAATGTTCGTTTCTTTTGAAATTGTGCTCATTTAGGATGGAAGGAAGGATGGAAAAGATGGTAGCAACAATTAAAATATATTTTACAATGTTAATGCTTTGTTTTAGTCAAATCACTGAATAGCAATCTGATAATGCAGATGAACACACAACTTACTTTTCCTGTGACTGCCCAGTTCTTCCATTTACACACACACACACACACACACACACACAACCCCCCCCCCCCCAAAAAAAGCTGCTAACAGAATTTAACCAGGACGCTGAGGGTCACACTCAAACTCAGGACAGACACACGTTAAACCCTTTGCCCGGAACAGGAAACAGGGACCAGTTTTCCAGCGAAAGGTCGACGCGAGACGCGTGTGGCGCGTAGAGGCCAGAGGCTGCGCCGCGGGCGCCCAGGACCTCTGGCCGGGCCCGCGGCCTCCGGGTGCGGGCACGGCCCGGGCTGCGCAGGCGCTCGGACCCGAGCCGCCGGGGGGGCCGGGCTGGGGTGCGCGGCGGTGGGGGGGAGGGGGGGCGGGAGGGGTAGGGGGGGAGGGCGAGGTTGGGCGCGGGCAGGAGGGGCCTCACCGCGCAGGCGGCCGCGTGCAGCTCCGCGATCCTCCGCTCCGCGGCGGTTAACTCTTCGCGGGCCGGACGCCTACCCGCGCGCTCGGGCCTGCGCGGAGAGCGGGGCCCGGGGCGGGCTCCCTCGGAAGCGGAGCCGCGTGCTAAGCTGAGGTGCTGTCGGAACCCTGCTCGGACCCATAGGGGTTTGGGTGGCGGGGCGGCGGGCCGTGGCCTTCCGAGCGCGGCGCGGGCCCACGCGGGGACCAGCCTGGCCGCCATGGCCGCCCCGGCCGGTGGGGGGCGGAGCGCCCGTCGCAGGGCCGGAGGGCGGCGATCGCGGGCCTGGGTGCGCCGCGGGTCCCCGGGGCGCGGCCGCCCCGCCGGGCCTGGGCCTCCGACCCGCTGGGCCTTGCCAGGGCGGCTGGTGAAGGGCGCACGGCCCGAGCAGGACGCGTCCGTCCCCTACCCCGCTGCGGGAACAGCATGGACTTTTAAGGCAGCTGGTGAAGCGCAGACAAGATACGGGGACGGAAAGAATGTGCCGTTTCCAGGTGTCTGCACCGAAATTCCGAGTATACTTTTTGTCGGAGATGGAAAGTGGGCATTTTTTTTTCTCCTGTTATTTTAGACTTGGGGTCAGGCGACAAAATCGCCCCAGTTGCTCCAGTGCCAGAAAGTGATCAAAAGTCTCCATATTAGTTAGTAACCAGCTTGGGCCTATCCAGAAAACACAGTGTTTTCAGGAAATGGTGCTAGCAATAAATAAAACCGTTCATGAATTGGTTCTTTGGTCCCACCCAAAAGGAGAACCAAAAGTGAAATCGCACACTGAATAAGAAAAGGTAATGTTCTCAGGTTGCTAAGTATTTGCGAAATCTAAACTATTAATAAGATTATTTCTTTCCTGAAGGATGTAAGTTGTCCTGATACTCCCCCAAAATTGAATTTAAGGGTTGGCATAAACCAGGAGGTAAAGCCAGGTGTTAGAATTAAGGTAGCATTACTTCCAACCTAAGTATTAGGAAAAAGAAGGTTGAAAGTAGCAGTTTTTTTAGTGTTCTTTAGTATTGAAGAACTGATGGCAAGACCTGATCCCTGAAGACAAGTGGGTCCTTTAGTTGTACAGGGGAAGGATGACTAAGCCACCTAGACCACCACCCCTTTTATACTATATGCATCAAAGATCAACACTGTAGTTAAATTTGGGGTTTCTTAGGTGCTATTTGAAAGGTCCCTATTGGTCTCTTTCAGATCTTGTAAGTGGCTTAATGTTGCATATCTATTTCCTTTGTGTTGAATTAGTTATCAAGATGGGGAAACTGGTGATCTGAGCAAAGAGATTAAAACCTGGAAGGCCAAGGAGGGAATCTAGGGAACGCAATGGAAAGATGGGACCCAATTTGAGATGACCATAAAATGTGCAACTGTGATTAGAAAAAGTAATTCACCGTAAGTCTGGTTTTCTGTTTATTTTTGCCAACGAAATTCTTGAATAAAAAAATACGTGTCAAAGTTCAGTGTTTTTTTGCATGGTTTTTAAAAGTGAGGATTAGGACCTATTAATAGGTCATGACATTAATTCAAAAATTTGGGACAGAATTTTACCAAATGAAATTGATTGGCCTAAATTCAAATAGAAAATAAAGAGTTAACTTATTTAGAAAAAGTATTGTTACTGGGAACTTCTGTTTTGATGTGGATGAGAGGGGTTTGTGACTATAAAGGGGTTGGCATGGGAGCTCATTGGGGTTATAGAATAGTTCTGTGTCCTGATCTTGATGGTTACATGAGTGTACACATGTGCCAAGATATCATAGAACCATACATACCTCCTTCCAATGTCAAATTCCTGGTTTTGAAATTATACTCTGAGTATATAAGATGTAATCATTGGGGAAAACTGGATGAGGGTATGTGGTACCTGTACTATCTTTGTAATTTCCTGTAAGTCTGTAATAATTTCAAAATAAAAATAGTAATTAGGGCCTCCCTGGTGGCAAAGGGGTTGTCTCAGCTCTATCACCACCACGACCTGAGTTTGATCTCCAGCCAAGGAGCTAATCCACATATAGTGCTGCAGACCTGTCCTGTCTCACCTGCTGCTCTCCTTAGCAGCATATTTCAGTAAATCTGCCCATTCTGCTCCGCACTCTGTCTCTGGTGAATCCTTTCACTTTCCACATCTCTGGCTATACCCCAGTTCTTCTATGCATAAATAAGTATTTTTAAAAAATAAAAATAGTAACTAAAAAAATGTAAACATGATTTTTAGATTACTTGTGAAGACAGATCACTGAATTAATCAGATACTTTATCTCTTCCATTCCCAGGTCTAAAAATTATCCTGATTAATTAAGGCCTATAGGCCGAGAAAACTGTTTTGTACTAATCATGTCATGTTACTTGTGTAAGCATTTTTTTTTTTTTTGCTTAGAAGAACTGGGGTGTAGACCAGAGGTGGGGTGGGGGGAGGGGATGGGGAGGGAATGAGAAGATTCCCTAGAGACAGAGTGGGGAGCAGAACAGGCAGATTTACTGAAATACACTGCTGAGGAGACAGTGGGTGAGTGAGACAGGAGAGGTCTGCTGTGCCATATGTGGGTCAGCTCCCTGGCTGGGATTGAACTCAGGCAATAGCAATGATAGCATTGAGACTTAATCCCTAGCACTTAATCCTTAATCCCTGGGATACAGGCCAGAGGTACGAGGAGTGAGAGGATCTACCAGGGAGGCCCCAGGCGTGCATTCTTATAGATATGTGTTTATCATGTAATCAAAGCTGAAAATCTGTATAATTGAGACATAGCAAAGTATCTTCACTACTCTGGAAAAATTCTATAAGATTTTTAAAATTAGCATTCTGTACTAGATATTTTAGGAAAGTATCTGTACTAACGTATGTATATTTCCAAATACTTGATAATTTAAGAACAGTATTATTTAGACATTGGACTATCTGACTCCTCCAGTTTTCCTTTGATTTTCAGACATTAAAAATCTGTCTTTTAACATCGGGGAACTCATTATGTCTCTTGTTTTAAAAGAGTCTTTAGGGTTTGACCATTACCTTATTCTAGCCTGTGCTCATTTCTTCTCATTTTCTCTCTGCTCACAATAGACAGAAGTGTATGAAAGTGTGGGCACAATGTTCTACCTTAGAATGGTAATTAAGGCCTTTATTTACAAAACTTTTATTTTTTATTTTTTTTTTTTATAGAGGCATGTTTTTCATTTATTTATTTATTTTGTTTGTTTGTTTTGTTTATACATGCACTGGGTACAGTCAGAAGCGCGGGAGGGTGAGAGAATTCACCAGAGCCAGAGCGGGGAGCAGAGCAGGCAGAAGGACCGAAGTACACTGCTGAGGGGAGCAGCGGGCGGCAGGAGAGGTCTGCGCGCCATGTGGGATCCTCCTCTGGTGGCCGGGGAGCAGCCGGGGATCGAACCGGCGCTGCAGCCGCGGGCAGCTTCGCAACCCAGCGCTCAACCGCTGCGCCACCTGGGAGGCCCTATTTACAAAACTTTTATATAACTATATTTGCTCTGGAAAGAGTTGGTTTGTGTCTATCTCTTCATGTAACATGATACAGGATTCATTTTATAATCCTTCCCATTATTTGAGATGTTTATGTTGATATTAAACATGCAAGTTATAGTGATGGGAGTTCAGAGAAATGTATTTTTAAATAGGTACATTACACCTCTTCTTGGTGGCAAGATGGACTTCACAAACAACCCCGAATCTTTTTTTTTAAAGATTTATTTACTGCACCCTGATGGTGCAGGTGGTTGAGTGCAGTACCGTGAAGCTGCCTGCAGCCTCTGCAGCATGGGTTCGATCCCTGGCCAGCCAGGAAGCTACCCACATGGTGGGGCAGACCTTTCCTGTCTCACCTGCTGCTCCCCTTAGCAGTGTATTTTAGTCAGTCTGCCCTGTTCTGTTCCCTGCTCTGTCTCTGGTGAGTCCTTTCACCCTCCCGCACATCTGGCCTGTACCCTGGTTTTTGTATGCGTGAATAAATAAATCTTTAAAATAAATCTTTAAAAATCTTTTAAAAACTCTGCCCCTTCTGTGCCAATTCCCTGTTCAGGCAGACTTTCTTTCTTTGGTGAAAGGTGGCTGAAAATAGCCATCTTCCCATCCTTGGACAAGCTCCTGGACAAAAAGTTTTTTGTGTCCCACCTCCTGAGGTCCTCACAGCCATCTCTTCAGCGTGTGTCCATTCTTGAGCCAATATTCATAAGTGTAGGTTATACTTAAGCCATCAGGACCCATGCCTGGGACACCATCCGTACACTTCCCCAACCCCTCCCAAACCATGGCTGAGGATGACCTGCATTAATGCTGGGGCACAGTTAACAAGGTCTGCTATGTGTGACTTGCACAGGCAAAATAAATTCCACCTGCCCATCCAGTCCTTTTGGTCTTGAATATTTGATTGCTTATCATTTAAAACATTTTTTGTTGTTCCTCTGGTTGCTCTTTAGACATCCTTCCTTTAACCTTCCAAAATTATTTGCTCTATTTTAGCTTCTTATACACAGTAATATTTTTTGGGGAGCATTGTTATCTCAGGAGGTCGTAGACAACACAATAAGGAATATATCATTTTCATTTTTGTGGCTCCACGGATCATTCTGTACTTCTATACATAGGACAGTGACACATAATAAATAATTTTTTAATGGATAAAGGAGTCACTGTTACTTCATGCTCAATAGATTTTCTTCACTACTAAATGAAAATTCTGTATGAGATTTTAAAATTAACATTTTGTATATAATGAAGATTTGACAATATTGATTAATTGTTGCAAATAAATATTTTTTTAAGATTTATTAATGCATACAAGAGCTGGGGTACAGGCCAGAGGTGTGGGGGGTGAAAGGATTCACCAGAGACAGAGTGGGGAACAGAACAGGCAGACTGACCGAAGTACACTGCTAAGGGAAGCAGTGGGCAAGTCAGGAGAGGTCTGCTTCGCCATGTGGGTTGCTCCCTGGTTGGCCGGGAATTGAACTCGTGCTGCAGTGGCTGCAGATTGCAGTGGCTGTGGAGCTAGGTTGCATCTTAAACCTTGTGCCACCAAGGAGGCCCCCGCAAATAAATGCTTTTTAAAAACTGATAAGGATGCTAACCTGAAGTCTTACTCAACTATATTTATTAAGTAGTATTGGTCTATTTTACTGACAAGACAGAGGCATACATGATCAAATTATCTGATCTAAGACCCTGAAATTCTGCCTCTAATCTACTTGAAGTGTTATCTTTTAATGGA